GTAATAATAGATAAAAAGGTAAATATATATTGAGTGAATTTATGAATATATATATAATAACATGTTAAGAAAAAATTAACGTGTAATATTTGTACGTAGTACTTAAAGTAACATGAAAGAGTATTAATTTATGGAAAGAAGATAAATAATAAGATGAATGATTTTGAATTGAGCATGTATTTAAGAATAATAATGTAAATAACAATGTATATACTTATCTATTTAGTAATAGTTTAATTGGATGTACTTTGATCCAAAGGTTTGTTCAGAAGATCATTTGCCAGATCGGTAACTTTTGGATGAGAGTTGGTTTTGAGATACGGTTTAGAGGTAGGTGTGGTTTTCTTGCGACAGGTGCTTTCTTTAACCCTGGTTGCTATAGTTTGAGTGATAGTGGGGGCATTCTGTTAATTCGTATTATTTTGGTTCTTCGATTCCCACGAAAATTGCACCAGGTTGTTTTTTGTAATTGCATTTAATCTCTGATACTCTGGAAACGAAACATTTTGTATATGAACTATGTTATCATCATCGGTTATCATGAGTTCACTGTTAATATATACTACAGAATCTTTTTTTATAACTGCGGTTGTATTCGTTAAATATTGTGCAGAAGTGGGATAATAGCATGTTAATTTAAGATTGACATAACCTTGGTCCACATAGTTCTTGGTTAAAACATTCATAACTACATCTTTATTATTGATCTCCGGGTCTTCTTAAACTAATGCTGTCATGTTGATTAATATTGGAAATGTAGGTAAATTGTCAGGGTCAAGGGTATTAAAACAAACTACATCGTTTAAGGTAATCTTTTGTTAAAAGGAAAAAAAAAAAAAATTTAACCTGAACCGTTGTTAATAGAAATCAGGCAGATTATATTTTAGAAAAAACCAACACTTCAACTTCTGTAGTTCATATTTTGATAAATTTGAATCCAATTTGATGATTCAATATTCAAAATTAAGCTTAATTCTTAAGCTTTTTTTTTAAATACAGAATTATCAAATTAGATTTAAATTCATCAAGACATGAACTATGGAAGTTGTAGTATTAGTTTTTTTTGAAATTTAATCTGTTTGATTTTCACTGATTATTGATTGATTGAATTTTTTTAGAGTTATAATAAAAGTAAGTTATACTTTTAAAATAGAATATTTTTCATCATTTTGGCCAGTGCCTTCAATGATGCAAAAATTTCTAGTAGCGAGCACTATGTCTTTGTCCTCAAATTCAGGTAAATTTAATTCTTGAACAGTATCATGGTGGTAAAATTCAGTTAAAATCACATTTAGAGAAGAATCTAGGCTTCGGGATCTTACAACACCCAAAGCTTCAACAATCGAAAGATTTTTATTAGGAATTAATTTTTTTTGGTAAGTTGTTACATAACATAATACGGTAATGGAGACTAGCATTTTTTTATTTTTTAAATTTTTTATTAATAATTGTTAATAAACAATTGTTAATTGTTGATCGATTGTTGTTGTTTGTTTTTGAAAAAATTGAAGAAAAAAATGAATGAGAAAAAACACAACTATTTATTGATTGATTTTAGAAGACATCAATTTTTTCATTTCATATGATTTTTATTTTTAAATAATAAGATAATGGTATGAGAATATTATATAGATTTTTATTTTATTTTATTTAATTATAAATAAATATATATTTAATTGTTTAATAATCAGGAAGTTTTTTTTCAAAACACATTTGGTCTATTCAAAGAATTCAAGATAATAAGTATTTTGACTATACTTATTAGGCCTCCGTATGGGTCAGGTAATAGCAATGCTCTAGTCCTACCTGTTTGTGTAAGGGCTTAACTTTTGAGCCCTTACCCTTACCCTAGAGCCCAAAACCCAATACCCTAATCCGGCCTGTCAGGCCTACAGGTACCTATGAACTATCCATAGGCCTAAATTTACCTATACAAAATTACAAGTGCAATAATAAAACCCACTAAGTATTGCTACTAAAATTAAATACATATGTTCAGGGCTTAAATTTAATACGATTTATATAGGATGAGCAGGGTGGGCTTTATTTCTGATTGGCCAATCACCAAATGTATCGTCACATATTACACTGCATATATCAAAGGATA